TATATATATATATATATATGCTAAGGGAATTGGAGTATGGTTGCGCCAAATTTGTCGATTTCTTGGTTCAGCTCTATTTGTTTGACATTGATATTTTCATCTGGTGACTCGGCAGAACATGCAAATCAATGATGTCACCGGCTATATCTGTTTGACCGTTAACAGTTCACTGCGATCGGTATAACCATTAGCAGAAAGTTGTATTGTTTGTCTTAAATTGTATCTGATGTATTCTATAAAATTAACTATGCAAACTTATAACTGGTTTAGTCTCAAAACTTTTGCTGGTAGTTATTTGATTTATTGAATGAAACAGTGCCAATCTGACTGCTCAAAAACTTATTGCGTATAATAGTTCTATGTAAAATGGTTGAAGCAGACAGATGTGCCAACAGTGGACTGTTCATTACGTATTCAATTTCAGTTTTCATTTTTCAATAGCCATCGTTTTTTGCTCTCAATAACTTCTTGGTCGTTTTCGTTGATGAGTGATTGCTACTGCTGTTTTAACCGTTCCGGAGGAAAGCTCTCGAATTTGGGTTGAAGTGTTACATTGGTGAAGGGAGGAGAGGATTGATGAGAGGCGCTATGCAAAAAATTATTAAGTGCAAAGGTTTTTATATGGTAAAAATACATTTCTCAACGATAGGGTTTTCTTTTAAGCGTAATCCATTTTATCGTCTTTTGTGCCTTTTTTTTCCTATTTCATGGAGACTCTTACTGAAATTTTATTATCTGTTTATTTTTTTTAGTTTATGGTTTTTAGCAGGGAGTACTTGCAGGGCAATATTTTTGCCAATAAGTGCTTTTTTTGCCAATAATTTTCTGTGGTATATATGTGTATATTTTTTGCCTCATTTTCTCTGGACTGTACACCAATTTTAATACTGCTATAGTGTACGAATTTACTTAATTCTTTGTTGCAGAAGGAAGATAGAAGACCTGGGAAGGATGACAGCATTGTCGCAGGAGGAAATTCTTCAAGGCACTCGAACAGTCGTTCAAGGACTTGAAGCATTAAAATTGGAGCATGAGACTATAAAGGTTAAAAATTTACTAACATTCTATTTGATTGTTGTTTTATTCAGGCAGGACATCACTAGTGTATGAGAAGTAACATGTCAAAAGCGTATAGCGATTAGTGTTTTATCAGTGAATATTATTTTTTTCGTATTTAATGATATTATATTTTCTTTTAGGGCACACTTGTAAATAGCATACAAGGTCTCAGTCCAGATGAGTCATCGTTGATTGAGGAGAAAACTCTTATTCTAGAGAAGAATCTAGATATGCTTCGCTTAGGGATTGAAGAGGCGCAGGTATTCATTTATGCTAAACAAGCGTTTTTTATGTGCTGTTAGTCGTTAGGTTCGGTTTTGAAAAACTTCTTTTTTCATTTTCTAACAGCTTATTATTTGAGGATCATGTACTTTTGCTTGTTCGTTATACCTCCTTCGAGAACTCCACTGTTCGTTCTTTCTTTTGGTTTCTTTATTTGTAGTTTTCGCTATGGGGCTGAAAACGCTTATATTATTGTTTTAAATAATAATTTTTGGTCATTTCTACTTCCTATGGAAGAAAATTTTTTTTTAAATGTTTTTTTTTGCCAGAGCTGTTCTGTAATTTACCTTTTTTGACGGGTTATCTTTGACTTGGAACCCTGGTTTTTTTATAAATGCCAGAGACAGAGAGGGATGAATGGCTTTTCCTGCTAGAGCCTCAGAAGTGCTAATTTCTGTTGAAACAATTTTCATTTTTGCTATAGCAAAAGCTGTAATGCTTACTATGTTTAGCTTGTTTTTTAACTGTGCGTTACTCGTATTTTTGTTCTTCAACATCAACCATTTTCTTCAAGACTGAACGTATTTTTAAGCTGTCTAGGGTTTTTTATTTCTCATAACTTAGAAGCTAACAGTAGAGTAGATTTTGTTCAAAGTAAAATGGTTTAGGTAATGATGGCATTAGCTAGTCATCTGCAAACTGTAGAGGCTGAAAAGCAGAAACTGAAAGCTCAGGTTAGACGTTTATGCCAGGAAAACGCATGGTTAAGAGATGAGTTGAATTCAACTCAGCAGAAGTTGCAAAGTAGTGAACAGGTGAGGAGTTATGCCTTATTTACTTAAGTAGTGGGTTTTATTCTATTCTTTTTAACACGAAATAACTATACAAATTAAATTTCAGCAAGTGGCTCAACTCGAGGAGGAGAAGAAGCATTTGGAATATATGAATTCTATAAAGAAATACGATATTGATCAACAGGTTTATTGTTTTTTTAAAGTCATTTGCTTAAATCTCCTAAAAGGGTATTTTACTAATAAAATACCACAGGAAAGTGATAAAGGGTCTGACCAACATGATCTACGCGGCAATGAGAGCACACTGCAAGAACTTGGTTTTGGTCCGGAGGAGGATGAAGAAATGTCCGGTAAGCTAGTTCTTCCTAGATTGTACCAAAGTGTTCCTTCAGTTTTTCTGTATTTACGTTTATACATTTCGAGCTTTCTTTTTCATTTTTGTATAGGTAATGTCCAAGGCCAGTTTAATCCTACTCCCGCCCACTCCATGGCGGCTAGTGCATCAGCAGGATATGAAATACCTGCTCGGTTACGAACTTTGCATAATTTGGTAAGTTCCACTTTACTCTACATTCAATCTCTTCTTCATTCGAAAATTGGTTTCACCATCAACTTTTAGAACTTTTTTCTCGACTTCTCTGTGCACCTTTCTTTTTATTCGGAACGAGGAGGGTAGGGAGAGAGTGGAGTGAGAGAAAGAAGAGTTCTTAAATTTTTCGGAAATTACTCTTGAAATTTTTTTTTTTTTTTGCAACTTAACATTTGGCTATTCTTCT